AATAAAGGGTCAGCTCTGCAGTGTGGAGAAACCGTGGATTGGTTTACGTTAGCTTCTTTTTCTTAAGGTGCCTGTCCAACTAGTGAAGGTTGACAGCTCAGCATATTTATCTTTATTCCTGGCGAGGCTGAACAGTTGGGCGGCACTCGCTATCCCAGTCCACTATCGTATGTTCCTCAAACACGATTCTTTCCTACGACCAGCTTTCCTTTTTACCAGGGACTTTTCCCATCATTATCAGTTGCAGAAGCTCGTATCTGTCATGCCTAAGTACATGACCCAGATATGCAAGATTTTCGTGTTTGATGGTCTGCAAAAGTTTACGCTTCTGTCCAACTAGTCTCAGAACTTCGTCATTGGTGACTTTCTGAGTCCATGATAAGTGCAACATTCTTCTGTAGGCCCAAATTTCAAATGCTTCAATACGTTTCCAGATATGCTTTTTGTAGAAGTATTGGCCACTAAATAAGTCGAGTGCGCAAATGAATCTTAAGACAACGACAGCATAATACATTCTTCTTGGTATTAAAGGCACTCCTGGCAACTTCAAGGACGGTTTTAATTTCAGTTTCACTGTACCAGTCTTCAGTTAACCATGTGCCTAGATATTTGTATTTGCAGACCCGCTCATTGTCCTACGACTGATATACGTCAGCTACTTTCAGAGTTTAATGACATACGGCATTTTGCTTTGGGTTAATGCCACCAAAATTAATAGAACCTTTGTCCTGCAGAAATTTGCGGTTATGACAAGGCCTCAGAGTGTATTTCAAAGACAATTCTGTGACGGTGCGACCTCTTTCTTCGTCATGTCACCTTTTTCTCTGGTTCCTGGCCACCTACTTTGAAATTTTGAATCGTTCTTAAATTCCTTTTCCTCTTCCTCATTTACTTTTAGCGAGCTACGTGAGCTGAGAAAAAAATCTGACCAGTTAAATCATCATGTAACCTAACTGTTTATAAAGATATTTCTAGAAGTTACAGGCCCTTTTGGGGTAAGTTCCTTTTTACCATAACCTGTATTTAATTAGGGAGTGTTTTATTGTACCCGTTTTTATATCATTGTTTTGTTACAGGCTTTACGCCTTTACTTTACCTGTTCTTTTCCCTTCCTATGCTCTTTCTTTATTTTTGCAATAAAATTCATGGGATCCGAGCCTTCTATTTAATTAAGAGAGTCCCGCGTGACCACTTTAAATAAATTAACAGGGTCAAACGCAGAAAAAATGTACCTTTTTTAAATTTACCTGTCCTTTAACTTAGGACTACTTTGTAAAATTTAGTTTTGAAAGAAGTCCAAAAATTTTTTGTTTTCTGGCACGTTGTACTTTCCACCCATGAAATATCTAATTCTAGTGTTAAAGTTATACAATATATTCAGGAATTTCAAGAGAATACTAATACGAAAAAAATAAAAGCAAAAGCAAAAAAATTGACAAAGGAAGTTAAAGCAACGAAAGAAGCTTTAATAGTGACAATGAAAAGAAATGAAAATATGAAGAAACAAATATATCGTCTGAAACAGAAAGTTGCAGCTATAAAGAATAACAAAGCAAAATACACTAAGGAGGATATTGCACAAACAAATAATGAATTACAAATTCTTTCTGAGTCATTGAAATGTATACAAGTTATCAAACCGTCAAGAAAAAAATGTACTAAAAAAGTCATCGTTAATCCTATAACTAAAAAACACAGAATAACAAATAAACTGACCAAAGTGATTGGTTTGAAGGGTAAAATAAGAAAATATGTGGTTATGTCATCAAAAAGATGCAGTTTAAAGAAAGAAATTCATGATTTCTATCTAAGAGATGATGTGAGCCGCCCCACAGCAGGAAAAAAAGAATGCAAAACGAAAAATAAGATCAAAATTCAAATAAGATATCTCTTGGACACCGTTAAAAATTTATATGAACTATATAAAACGAATGGAGGCAAAGCCTCGTATAATACTGTTCTTCGACATAAACCCTTTTATGTTTTACCCCCAAAACTTGAGAACCGTGAAACATGTGCTTGCATACGTCATCAAAATATTAAATTTAAAATTACAAAATTACTAAAACGATCTCCTAAAGCAAATAGCGTGTGATTTAGAGTCAAAAGCTTGCATGTACGGTAAGTGTCAAAATTGTGCGTCAAAAAATATTGACATTGTACAAATGGATCCGACAGAAAATATAAGCTGGTTAGAATGGGGTTTAAAAAAAGTGTCGTATAAAAAGAAAAATAATGAACGCCAACCAATAGAATCCTTTACGAAAAAAGTTACAAAGGAAGTTAAGACAGAAAGTAATAGAGTCTTCGTACATAAATTTCAAAACGAGATAAAATTATTTAAAAGACATGTATTCAACATGAATCACCAACAAAACAAATTTAGAGAAGCCACTAAAAACATAAAAGTCAACGAGGTTGTCTTGATAATTGACTTTAGTGAAAATTATCAATGCAAACACAATGTGGAAATTCAGGGGATGCACTTTGGTTCTTCTCGTAAACAGATAACATTGCACACTGGTGTAGCATATATAAAAAATCGTAAACCAGAACCTTTTTGTACAATTTCTCCGAATAACGAACATAGCCCATTTAGTATTTGGGCCCATCTTTATCCTGTTATCAATTATTTCAAGTACAGTTACCCTGACATTGATACCATTCATATGTTTTCTGATGGCCCTACAACGCAGTATCGCCAGAAGATTAACTTTGCATTATTTTCCAAATATACTAAATATTTCGGTTTTAATCATTCAACCTGGTCGTTTTTTGAAGCTTCACATGGAAAGAATGCCGCAGATGGGATAGGTGGAGTTTTAAAAAGGCTTTTAGACAGGTATGTTGCTTATGGAGCTGATATTTCTGATGCTAACGCTGCATTCAAGTTATTGCAGGATAAGTCATCAATAACACTGTACTATGTAACTGACCATGATATTGCCATAATCAAGGAATTTAATCCGATGAACCACATTTCCCAACTAAAAGGAACTATGATGCTTCATCAGGTTATTTCAACCGAGGATGTTAATAAAATAAAATATCGACACATAAGCTGTTTTTGTGGAGAAAGACGAGGGGATTGTCTATGTTTTGATGTAAAAGTACATAAACTTGTGAAAGACAAAAATATGTCTGACACGAAACAAAAGAGAGAAATTGTCATTAAAACTGATACTGAAGTAAAAAAGAGAAAGTTAAATGGACCTAGTGAAGCAAAAGGAAAAGAAAACCAACTAAAGATAAATAAACACATTAAAGGAAAAACACATGAAAAAAGTATGGAAAGACAGCAAGACATAAATATGGAGAGTGAGAATAAAACAAAAGAAGAAAAGTCAATATTGACTCAAACATCATCGAAAAGAAAAGTAAATAAGAGCAAGCAGTGCAAAGGTAAAAAGAAAAAAAGCAGACGATAGATTGCTCTTCATCAACCACGGATCTAGACAGTAACTTATATGCGAAGAGTGATGACAGTCCATGGAATGAAGGTGAAAGCGATGATGATTTATTTATTGTACACCGTAACAAAATGGCTCGGCTAAACAAAAATAAGGTAACCATTTTGAGTGAAGTTAAATATAGCCCTGAAAACTGTAATTACTTGGATGTAACTAAGGCGGGTCCATTGAAATTAAACAAAATTGACCTTAATTATAATTTACACACTAAAAACTATATTGATAACACCAGTGATGAAGAGTCAATTTTTTAATTATGTTTGTTTAAAGATGATTGGTAATTGAAATATTTTGATTCAGTTTGATAAATGCAAAAATATTTTGGTTTATATTGTTACCTTTTATATTAATATTATGATATTTTGTACAATTCGTTGAAACTAAATCAATCTTGTGATTCTTTTTTAGTCATTTAAGAAATAATTTTTAAAATCCCAAAAATTTGTAGAATTTAGTCAACGTTTTTAAATTATTATTATATTTTCTCAAGTGAATACCTAGATTTTAAGACTGCAATTTTAATTTTACAGGTCGTTATTTATACTAATTAAGTTAAGAAGATTTGTTGTTTTAAATATTTTTATTTTGTCATATTGTGTTCTAATGAGCATTTGAAAGTTCCTATGCAAGTAAAATTTCCCTCGCTAGATGTAGTTGCTCATCAATGTGATGTGTAAATTTTATGTTCAAATGATGAATAATGTGATATCTGTAGAGCGGGAATTCGCTAAGTTACAAAGAAAAATAAATATTTTGGTAAATATGTTATGATATTTTATTTACTTAAATTTTATTTAAATGCATGAGAAGCCAGAAAAAGATATTAGTCTAGTGACCTTGATATATGTGTTCGCAACTTTATTTAACAGTTTCGTTATTTATCAGTTGAGTTACTTTTTTTCGTTATGGTCCATTTTTCTGCGTTTGACCCAACATTCTTACACTAGGGTCATTTTACAAGAATAGTATTTTTTTTATGAAAAATAGTGACAGAATTGAATTGACGATTGTCGGTGTAGTAAAAAAAATCTTTCTTCTTGCACGGTAATTAGTGAACCAGAAATAATTTACAGACAAACAAGTTAGATACATATAGAGAGACAATGAAGTTTAGATCCTGTGGTAAATATTTGTAACCAGTCTGAAAGTATTAACTATACTCTTTAGACAGAAGCTCGTTGATAATATTTACAGTTTGGTAAATATAGTAAAATATAGTTCCAATCTAAGGTAAGAGCGGTTACACACGGTGACTTTTAGCAGCGATGCAAAGGCGATGCAAACGCGATACAAACGCGATGCACGCTTTAAATTAATTATCTAATTTATTTATTTAAAATATTTATTAATTTCAGTTTTAAATTTACAATTAACAGAACAAAATATTGTGCATAAAACTATATAGATTCTTCGTACTGTAATAGGTACACGACGCGAGGAAGGGTGAAGAATGACTCTTGAATCTCCAAATGCGCAACGGCTGCTTTTATTGACGATATTTTATTGACGATCAACAACGACGATTCTATGAGCTTTCATCCAAGTATCCCACCCGGTGGAAGTGCTGGAATGCCACTCATAGGCAAAAAAAGCAATTTCCTGTTGCAACTTAAATGGTAATTTAGTTAAGACTTCGACAGCGCGTTCTATTTTGATCCCACCGCCATCTAGCGGCAAGGCGAGGTTACTAATATTTCTTGTACGTGGTGTTACAGTATATAACTTGTTTAACATAAGCGACTGTATCAATGCTGTCGCGCGTTTGCGTCGATGCAATCGTCTATAAATCGCAAGTGTATCAAGAACGCGCGTTTGCATCGCTGCTAAACGTCCCCGTGTGTAACCACTCTAAGCCGCTAGGTACGTTGCAACTGCCACGTCGACAGCATGACTTACACCCGTATTTATGAACGAAACAAAA